ATAGGTATGTTTTCATTAATGTTTAATCAGCTGAAACTAAGAACTGTTTTCGTTACTTTAGAATGAGGCGGAGTCCGCCACATTTAAAATGTTGAGAAGGTTTTATATTTCAGTCAATGGTCATTGTTGGAAAGACAAAGACGGTTTTAGTGAGTTTTGTTGTGTTTATTTTGACCAGAGTGTGTTTAACAATGAATGGAGTTTGGTGGGCCGTAGCATCCATTGCTTTGGTCTGAGCTGCTGGTGCTCTAGTGCGCAGTTTGTTTTCCAGCTCCGTAGTTTCCTGATAACCTCTATAATAATTCAAGCTGCTCAGTATTTATCATGTCATCACATTTTTATGTAAACGTGGAAGCAGACTGCGAAGACGGATGTTTTAACTTCGGTTTCTCGTCCTGCAGACGTTCTGTTGGAGGCGTTTGTCACAGCGAAAGGTACGTTCACCGGTTTCTGGATCTTGTTTCTCCATACAGTCCAGGTCCAGGCAGGGGGCTGAGCTGAGATTTATACGTCGGGTTTGTGTCCGGTGCTCTGGGGAGGCTGACATGTTTCAGACCGAAGGGGAAAACAGAAGAGCTCTGTAACGTCCCTCATAAATACATAAGAGCTAAAAGGCCTCTGCAGACCCAGCTGGACGTCCCGGAGCTCAGGACGACATTGTTAAATCTGACAACAATGGAATTTAAGTACGGCGACCCGCAGGGGCCACAAGTCAGAGAGATGAACCGGTTCTGCTTCCTGTTCAGGCTTCAAAGCTGAGCAGAGCAGAGCGAGGTCAGAGCCGCAGAAAACGTTCAAATTCATCAACCACACACCCACTGTTCATCTTCCCTTTCTGCAGCGGTTACTGAGACACATGAAGGCTGACTGCACCTTTTAAAGTTGTGTTCTTTATCCCAAATGTTTCCAACAACGTTCAAACCTTTTATTCAGGTAACGCTGCGTTTCACCGGTCGCCTGTCGATGGCGTCATATCCCCTTTGTGCCTGCGTCAGCGTTGTGGTTGTCTGTCAGAAGCTGTCA